CCCCTTTTTTTTTGTGGGGATGAGAAGAGAAAAGCGCCCCGTTTAACTCCCACTTCCGCCCCCATCTGCGCGGGGGGGGGGGGCAGGGGGAACTCTGCAAAATTAAATTTCTCCTTCCTTGCGGAAGAGCATCCCTTCCTATCTTCGGGGTGGAAAAGAATTTCATTTGTTTCTTTATATTTACAGCCATTTGTATGCTGTGACTGAAGCGACTCCAGTAAGCTTCCAGCGATTATCTCCCTAAAAATAGTAAATCGTAAAAAGTCTGCTGGGGTCGCGCATTAAAATGCATTCCCCAAATACCCCAAATGTGTTTTTCTGTGTTTCCTAAAGAATGAAAGGGTGGGGGCTCGCCTGTTCTCAGGAGGTAGGCTATTGCAGAGTAAGGGGGCTGCATTGAGAATGCACTCTGTGTGTGTGTGTGTGTGTAGAGCCAGAGCACCCTCTCCTGGCCACGTTACACATGGCAGGCAGATTCTATCTGCAGAAGAGAATCTCACAGGTAGATACTTTATTTATTTGTCCGTTTGCAGTATTTCTGTCCTGCCAACTCCCCGTGCGCTCTCGGGGGTTCAAATTCTTGAGGCCAACCTTTCTTTTCATTCTTCCCTTAACCCCTTTCCGTTGGCTGCTCTAGCGCTCCGAGTTTCCCGTGCTGCACATGGAGACGATTGTGCACCTGCTGATCCAGGTGAGCGACGCCCTGCGATACCTCCATCTGCGTGGCTTTATCCACCGCACCCTCAGCTCCTACGCCGTGGTGGTCGTTCTCACTGGGGAAGCCAAGCTGACGAACCTGGAGCACATGATTGAAAGGTAAACCCACCCCGGCCTCTGCTCTGCCATCGACGCGCTGTAACGATCTGCCACTCCCAACTCTCAACTTCAGTAACTCACCTTGCAACCAGTCATGGTTCAAAAGAAAGTTCACTTATTGAGAACAAGTATAGAGTTCCAAAGCATTGCTAAGACTGAGCCCGCGCGTGCCAAAAGTTACTTTTTTCTCTTTCCCCCTTGTACTCCCCTAGCCTTCCAGTCTTCTCACACTCGCTCGTTGGTACGACCTTGAGCGTTCCTCAGTCTTTGATAACAGTCCATCTGCCTCTAATGGTCATTTCGTTCACCCATCCTTCCAGATCCTTCCAGCACCCCCCCCCCACGTCTCCTAATGGCAGAAGTGAAGCAAGGTGGTTAATAGATTGCGAGGATTCTGACATGTGTCTATGCATATTTGGGCTTCGTGCCCTGGCCTCTGCCCCAGTGTAATTTGTGACCGGACTGCCATCAGAACCTGGCCTTTGTGGCTTGTTTGGTAAATCATGGTTAAAATCAACCGTGGCTAAATGGGGAGGGAGGACCTGGATGCAATAGGGTTGATCAGATGACTTAAAGCAAGGTGCAGCTGAACGCCAAGTGAGTTTGGCCATTTGGCGTGCAAGGAAAATTTGCCTGCGTGGCACAGAGACCCTCAGTGGTACCTCGTTCGGCTGTTTCTCGGCTGTTCCCAGGCCCGGTTCTGTGTCCTTTCCACAGCAGGCCGATATGTCTTTCCTTCCCTTTCCCCTATCAGCCCTTCGAGGTAGGCCAGGTCAAAAAACAGACCCTGTTGGGATTCTAGAAACATGAAAGCCTGTCCAGGTTTATCCCTGTCCCCCTCTTATACTAAAGAAAATCAAGGCAGGGTTATCTTGAGTTTCTTTCTCACGCTTCCTCCTGTCTCTGGACTAGGTAATCTCTTCTCCAAACCCCTCCTTAATGGCTCTTTTCTACCCTCCCAAGCTTAGCTCTAAATTTCTTTACAATCCCTTCCCTTCCCTTCCCTGGCCTGTCGCCCGGCAGTTTTCATAAAGAGAACTGGGAGCTAAAAATCCAAGCCCTGTGGATTTTTCTGACGTCTAAAGCCACTTTGAATATTTGACAGAGCCCTGAAATTAGAAGAAGCTCTTTTTTCTTTTTTTTAAATGTACCACACATCAACATTTACTTTTAAACGCCCAACAAAGATATTCCCATAGAGAATTTTCTATTTTTCCTTTCCTCTTTTTAGAACAACATTATTTTTTTTAAAAGAACAATAAAAACTAACCAAAACTAGTATTAAGAATGAGAATTAGGGAAAAAAAGAAAAAATTGAAAAAAGAAAAAAGAATAAAAAGCAAAAGTACAGGAAAGGAAAGAAAAAACAACAAAAAAGAATTGACTTCTGACCCCCCCCACAGCAGATATAAGTAATGATATACATCGAACTCTTGCTCTAAATTTACGACATAATTTCCATGATTTCTGTTAACCCATATTATTTTAATCATCAAACCTATACAACATAATTTCATTTTTGTATATCCCACAAAAAGTCCAAAAATAAATCCAGTTAACACTAAAATTACACAACGTTTTATTTCAAATCAAAACTATCAATTTTGCCATCTCAGCCAACTCCATCAACCTCAGAAACCCTTATTTCACTATAGATGATACCTTTTCTTTCCACCTCTGCAATTAGAAGGAGTTCTTGGCCCATCAAGTCTAACTTCCTGCTCAGTGCAAAGATGCAAATTAAACACCCCTTCAACAAATGGCTCCCCCATCGTCTGCTTGAACACATCTCAGGATCCCATCAAAGTGCTTCTGCTATCCAGGCAGAATCTGCTTTCCTGTGACATCTGACTATCGTTTTATGTCTTGGTCTGTGATGGCATGTGGGAAAGACCTTGGGAGACTGGGCCAAGAGACGCTGCCTAGGGAACGCTCAGATAAGAGGCAGCACAGCCCACAGCTGCATAATGGGCAGGGCAAGAGGCTCAGAAGGGACCCTCTCTAAGTTGTCGGGGTGTAAAGGAGACAGGGAGATAATTGTACTTCCAGACTTTCAAGATTCTGTTAATGTAGCCTTACAACAAAGTAGAATTAGCTCATCTGGCCCTACTTCCTGTCTAGTCTACCTTGCCAGGCTGACATCAACCTTGCAAGTCTGAAAGTGCAAATCTCCCCCGTCTCCTTTACAGCCCGAGAAACTAGGGAGGGTCCCTTCTGAGCCTCTTGCCCCACCCACTATCCAGCTGTGGGCTAGGCTCTCTCTTATCCGACTGTTCCCTTGGCAGTGTCTCTTGGCCCCGTCTCCCAAGGTCCTTCCCACATACCATCACATGGTCCCCCAGGAGGTGACAGATCTTTAAAAAACTGTTGTCTTGGCCCCCAGAGGGGGCACCTATTCTTCCCCCACGCTGAGCATCTTCCCTTGTCGACAGCAAAGACGGAGGGGAGCACAGCGACCTGACACGCGTACCCATCCCTCCCCAGCTGTATAAGTGGTGCGCCCCAGAAGTGATCCTTGAACGGGCTGCTACTCCCAAATCGGACATCTACAGTTTTTGCACCGTCATGCAGGAGGCATTTACAGGTACAGCAAAGTATAAAGTATAAGGCCAATTTGTCTTTTCTTCTGCCTTTTCTTTCTTCCTTTGTATTTTTTTAAATTTTTTTAAAATTTTCTCTTTAAGATTAAAGATTGCCTTGTTCTTTGTGTATGCATAAGCTAAATAAATAAATTTAAAAAGGAAAAAAAAGGTAAGTAAAAATGCTGGGCTGCCAAGGTTTCTCTGTCTGGATTTATTTGAACTAATGCTACTCAAAAAGGTCATGCTCACCAGGGGTGGCTGCCTGGGCGGGGGGAGTGTCAAAAAAGTCAAGATGGAGGCCACACCTGTGCGATCAAAGATCTGCTTTTTTAAGCGTGTCACGTGTGGGATCAAGGCTCTGTGACCTACATAAAAAAGCAGCGCTTCAAATGCACGGGTGAGTCCACCATCTTGACTTTTTTGACCCTGCTATGTCTACCCGACCTTCATAGGAATTGCCGAGGTTCAACTTTCTTAACTCTTAAGCAAAGTAAGGATAAGAAAATCACTGCTGCTCTTCTTTTTTTGTTTAATCCTTTGCTGCTTCCAAAGCTGACTGAACTTAGAGAATGGTGCTATTTATCTGTAATGTTTAGTGGGTCAAAAAACATCCCCTAAACTTGAAGGAATACTGCAGGAGCATTGTTGAACAGAATGGAAATTCTTCCTGGTCGCTGAATTACAGAACAGAAAGGCTGGCAGGGGCCTCAAGGTCATCTAATCCAGGATTTCTCAACCTCAGCAACTTTAAGATGGGCGGACTTCAACTCCCAGAATTCCCCAGCCAGCATGAAACCCTGATGTAGTCCAACCCCTGCCCAGCGCAGGAACCTCCAGCATCCCCAACTGATGGGCCACCTGGCCTCTATAAACACCTCCAGCAAAAAAAGCAGATTATTCCACCATTCAACAGCTCTTACCTTTAGGAGATCTTTCCTGACATCCAACTGAAATCAATTTCCCTGGAATTGAAACACATTTTTTGTTGTCCTTTATTCTGGAACTACTCTGAGCTATCCCGTTCTCTACTCACACTTTTAATTTGTTCTATTCAAATGCAGGTCTTTGGGTTTGCTCCTATTGGCATTCACCCCACTCATGGTTTTGCCCATTGGGTCAGATCCTCCTGAATTTTAATACTATCTTCTAATTATTGATATTCACCAATAATGAATATGCTGTCCCCCAGCCAGTCCTGTTTGTTGCAAAAAAAGAAAACAATGATGACATCATTACAGATAGTCCTCAGGTTATGACCATTCGTTCAGTGATCGTTCAAAGTTACGACAGCACTGAATGAATGGTACTTATAACCATCCTCAGAGTTCCAGCCGTTGCAGTGTTCCCATGGTCACGTGATCACAATGTTCAGTGTTCCCTGCCGGGTTCCCACAAGCAGAGTCAATGGGGAAGCTGTCAGGAAGTTGTGGTCACTTGAGGTCCTAGCTTAATGACCTACATGCTCCTCATTTAACAACAGCAACCAGGACTGCTGGAATTGCTGTCACTAAGCAACTTGGTCATGTCATGTTGCACTTTATGACAGCGTCGCTTAGTGATGGAGTTCCCGGTCTCAATTGCTGTCATAACCTGAGGACTACCTATACGGAGATTAGGCTGATTGGTGCAGAAGTTGGTCTGTTGTACTGAGGTCTGGTAAATCTATGTTTCTTTGTATTGACAGAAGTACAAAAGCCTTTTATGTTGCTTCCAGCTTCCATTGACAGCTGACATTCCTTTCTGGTGCTATATCTCCTTTGCTGGTTGCCTCCAGCAAAGCTCCTTTCTTCTGTATGTCCCTTTTAACTCCCTGAGCATCAGATTCCTAAGCTGCTCTTCTATTTTCTCCCCCCTGGAATGGTGCAGAATTTTACTTTTCAGTTTTACTTTCAATTTTACCTTCTTTAGAAGTTCTCAACCGTTGAACTCCCTTTGACCCAAAGTTCTTGCCTTGTTCTTCTCTATGTTTGCTGCAGTTCACTTCTCAAATCTAGTAGACATGGACAATTCTGCCCCAGTTTCTCTCTTTGTAGTATCTTGAGCTCCAAGGAGACAGGGGTCACCTCCTTCCACAACCCCCTCTGCCTTTCTCTCTTCAAGCAGCTCTTCTGTTAGGACCGACTGTACGACCCAGAGATTGCAACATGGGTCTTTCTCACTGGGGAGTTTATGATCGCTATTGTCCATCACTTGCTCTTCTTCAAGGCAGAAGGACTTCCTTCCTGTGCAGAGACTAGAGGCCTTTTCCTCTGAACTGAGGTTTGTGGCAAGAGAGTCCAGAAACATCATCAGTGGAGAAGTCACTGGAATTCTCTTCCGGAGCTCCAAAGAAAAGGATTTTTCTTGCCAAACCGGGGGTTGGGGTCATCTTCCTGCCTCTCTCTACGCTGTCCGCGGCCTCAAGGTGCTATTGTCTGTCTGCAGAAGCTTCCCGTGTCCAATTCAGGAATTCTCATCTTCCGTAAGAAGCAAGGGGTGGACAGTCCTGCTCCAGCTTCTTCACCGTCTTGTCCAGAAGGATGGGTGTTTGCAGGGTGTGGTCAAAAAAGTCATGTTGGTGGCCCCAACAGTGCAATGGAAGCTCTGCCTGTTTTTCATATGTGTTGTAAAAAACCAGGCAGAACTTTGATTGCGTCATTGGAGACACCTTCTTGTCTTTTCTGACCACGCCCTGTAGACACCTCTGTCCAGGAGGGTTTTGCTTTGCTTTGTTTTGCTTGACTTCCTTGTGACCCATGAACATACTTTTTCCACGTTATGCTTCAGATTTATTTCAAGGCGTGTTTTTTTGCTTTTTCTTTTTCTTCATTTTTTAAAAAAACGAATGCAACTTTTATTGGCTTTCCTTTGGAGCTGGAAGTCAAAGCTGACTCTTCCAGGTCTTGTCGTCACATTTATTGTGCAAATAAAACCGGCTTTAGATGCATGCAGGTCTCCAGAACTCCAATTCTGGGAGTTGAAGTCCACTCACCCTAAAGTGGCCAAGGTTGAGAAACGCTGGGTTAGGCTGTCACAAAACCAAGCACAGACCTATTTTTCACAGCTGCTCCAGTGCATCTGAACACCCATTTCATCTAGTGGGTGCTTAGAAACGAGATGCTGAGTGCCTAATTTATTTTCTAAATAATGGTATTTTGAAAAGCGGTTTTAGAACAAAGCGTGTCCCCTGTTCCTAGTCTCTCCAATCTAGTGCGTTATCTAAACCACTCTTAAAATCACCCCCTTTTTTCCCCTCTCCTGTCTCATGTAACACCCAAGTCCTGATGAAGTGGGGGCTGTCATTAAAGCAGAAGGAGACAGGCCTTGAGGGCTTGAATGCTTGGCGTCTGGACCTTGTTCCAGCCCCTTTACTAACAGTGGCGGGAAGCCCCTGCATTTTCTTCTGTGCAACAAAGCAGTGCATTACATCCGGATGTATATTGGTGCCCTAGGAAGAATGGGATGGGATCTGTGTGCGCCACTCGGGGTCATGTGACCAGGAACCCGTGTCCTTAGAATGGAGCAGTCAGCAGCATTTGAAGCCACGACCCAACTGCTGAGCCGTCCCCATTTTCCTCTTTTGGAGAGTTATCTTGCTGAACCAAAGTCTCCAATTCCTTTTCCCAATGTCTTTCCAACATTCCCTAGGGTTGAAAAAAAGAAATGTCATACAAGACAAGAACCACACCCAAGAGAACTAGCTCTATCTTGATTGTAAGGTTAGATTAACAGAATCTTGCAAGACTGAAAGTATTTCTCCCCTCTTTTTACTCTCCGGAAAACTAGGGAGGGTCCCTTCTGAAATGCTTCCCACGCCCCTTTTCCTTCTGTGGGCTGAGATATCTTTTACATGCCAGTTGTCCAGCCTGCGGCTGTTCCTCCTGTCTCCCAAGATCATTCCCGCATACCATTACACTACTTGTGGGAGGGAGAGGGAAGGGGACGCTGCGGCGCAACGCCCATCACTCCGCAGTTGTCGCTACAAAATAAAAATGGAAGAGACTCCCTGGTCCACACTGACTGTGACAGTGAGTTTCCGTCCTTCTTGTCTTCTTTCGGTGCCTTCCCGCATCAGACTGTGCATTCAGGACGTGTGTTTTCCAGACACCATTCCTTGGGATGGACTCGAAGGTTCGGCCGTCAAAGATCTCATCATCTCTGGACAGTGGTTGGAAGCCGACGCCAGGTTGCCCAAGCCCTATTATGACATTGTGAAGACCGGCCTCGAGTCCAGGCAGAAGCAGCGCACAATGAACCTGCAAGATATTCGCTATGTCCTGAAGAATGACTTGAAGGTGAACAGGAGGGCTTTCCTTCCCCATCCCTTCCCCTCTCCTCTGGGCGAGGAGGCAAGGAAAGACTTAAGGTCTAAATGTTGAAGTAAGTGTAGGCACATGCAGATTAAAAATGGGACAAGCTTCTGTCTTTAGCCAAGACAGAATTTAATGGTGCAACTTTATTTATTTTAAAAGCAGAACTGAATTTGCAAAGCTGCCTCTATCCCAGAAAAGTTTGATGTAACCCCATTCATATCTTAAGCTCAACATCCTAACGAATTTAAGCCCCTCAGAAGAATCTTGCTGGGTCAGGCCGTGGGCCCACCTGGCCCAGCATTTGGTATCCCTCCTGGTGAGGAATTGTGGGAAAGGAAAACAATCCAGAGATGAGAGTCTATCAGCAACTTAATTCATAAATGACCACTTAGGCCAGGTAGAGAGAAACCTGGGAAGAAGCGTTGCAAAGCCTTCAGAGAGACGGTGCCTCCATTAACTCACTGTCAATTAGGATGGGAAGAGTTAGAGTTTCTGAGATTGACAATAGGCTCCCCGCAACTGGGCAAGATCAAGGAAGCAGGACCTGCATGGGCTTCAGCCAAGTGTCTTTAATGCTAGTTGGGGATAAATGCAGAATCTTAGAAACTTTAAGAAGAATTTCCCACCTTCCTTTCTAGTGAGTTCACTAAGGCTCTTGATGTTTCGAAACGCTTCTTCCCATGTTTCTCGCCATCCGGGGTAGTTTGCTGTATGAGATAAGCAACCAGTGGACTTCCCTTCTATCTATGGATTGTTTATATCTGTTGCCCCTTTCATCCCTTTCCTGGTGTCCCTACACTCTCTAACACATAGTGGTCAACCAGATGCTTTCAGGAAGTTCTCATGTTATTGTCAAGCATCCCATTGTATCTGGAGGTCGAAGCTAGTAGCTGTGGGTGGCCCCGATCATCCACCAGTGTGTGAACTTGCTTTTAAAACCGTCCAGTTTGGCAGCCAATTCATGCTGGCGTTGAGGTATTGGACAGGCCAGAATCACCTAGAGTTGGGCAGCCTCTGAATTTAATTAAAATAAATGAATTAAATCGATCCATTTAGAACCGCTTCCTTTCTGTCAAATCTGTAAGTCCTCCCTTTTCAAAACTCAACTGTCTCGGGAATTTCATTTATTTTATTTATATTTCAAATTTCACTGCAGAGCGACTCTGGGCGGTTTACAGTAAAAAAAGAATAAATATTAACCAAAATAGAATCAAGAAAGCAGGGTGGTTTGAAGAGCGAGGAACAGGAGGCATTTGAACCCTGAGCCCATGGTCAGAACCAACTGACCGGCCAAATATACTGATTTATTTAATTCGCAGAAAAGCTTCTGGTACTCTTACGTTGGAGAGGGCGCTGCTGGAATGAAAAAAAAAATTCTGCTGACGGATTCCTCGTTCTCCTTTTTGCAGGACTTGCTAGAGTCTCGCAGGCCACGTCTTAGCGAGGAACCAGAGTCCCCCAAACCTGAAATTCACCCCGATATCAACATCTGCTTGCCCTCCGCCTCAGCTCTCGTGGTTAAGAAGCCGGAGTCGCAAGAAGAGATGGCTCATGAAGGTCTATGTCCTTTTTTGGGTGGGAGGCTGGATGTATCGGAAGCCTGGATGGGGAGATCTTTCCCACCCCCCAGGAGGGACAAGCATCGTGGGGCTCCAAAGTGGGGGGCTAAATTTTGGGGAGACCAGATTTTGGTAGCTGCAGGAAGCAATTTTGAGCCAGAAGCCCAAGGTAACTGCGTAAGCTAGCTCTGGGTGGCTTCGTTTGTGTGTTGGCAAGTTTTGGCAGCTCAAATATTGTCTTTGCGTGTTGGATGAATCAAGTAGTGTGTTAATTTCTTTGGGCGTTACATCCACGTGAATGCAGCTGTAGCGTGTGTGCGTGTGCACAGTAGGGTTGATATCCTCCCCCCCCCCAAGTTCTTGTAATGCTGATAGGAATTTTGCCCCACGGCTCCTTTTAAAAGAAACACATCAAAATAAGATAGACGTCACTGGGCTTGTTAAATAAATGCATTTACTGTGGGATTTATATAGCCAGGGCTCACATAGTTGTATTAAATGATGACGTGGGTTGTTTGTCTGTTTGTTTTAATGCTGAAGGTTCTGGCCGGCAAACCATTTTGGCTCTGGGCAATTGATGAATAGAAAGTGAAAAAACCATAGGTTGTTTCAGACCAATAAATATCAACATGGGCTTCAAAGTCTGCAAGACGGCAGAGGTGGGATTGTGATCAAAGCCCCACCCCTTTTGCACATGCGCGCACATACAGAAGGCGTGGGGCTGTGATCACGGCCCCGCCTCTGCCATTTTGCAGATTTGGACACCCCTCCCCATGGATTCTCCCTTTAGTGCAGTCTGCTGAGATCCTTGTTGTTGTTGTTCAGTCGCCAAGTCGTGTCCGACTCTTCGTGACCCCATGAACCATATTG